ATACATAACCCATCGTTTTCATCATTGCAAATCTATTGCAATTAATTCTGCTATTGATTTATTGATTCCTGCACACTGTATGAAATAGGTTCCTGGAGCAGGATGTCTGTGTATAAGCACATTTAATCTACAATATAAATAGTTTTCATAAGGGACTGGGTTTCATAGTGTGACAGAACAGACCATCCTGATCGTCTTTTCCCACGCTGACTGTAATATTTCCCTCGCCCCCACTTGCTTCCATCTCTCACTGAATTTATCCTCCCTCACTTTCCTATCCCCTCAGACAGACCCCTCCATTTCCTTCTCTCATCTTCAGAGGCATTACAGATGGCTGGGACGGTTCAACCAAAGTCGTCGTCAAACGGCCATGTGATCAATGGGGGGTTTTCAGGAGGCAAAACACGTAGCCACAGCTGGTCAATTATAGAAAGAACAACACACACACGCACACACATACACACACGCACACACGCAGTGAAAGTGGCTGGCCTTTAAAAACAGAGTTACTTTTCGCCTCCCATCAGCTCTTTTTCTACAGCTTCAAATGGATCAGCATCAGGGAATCTTGGCAGAGATAACGCCAATGGTTGTGGTGTAAAGATTTGACAAAAATAGCTTGGCTTTGATGGCAAAAGCTGTCCAGTCAAGTAAGTATGGTATGTAAAAGGCAGTGTATCACATCGGGTGAGAAAGACAAGATAACTTTACTGTAATCTTGACTTCTTTATGGCACTGTTCTGCTCTACAAGCACCCAGCATGAGAACAGCAGTCCCTGTTACTGAATTAGCATTGGGGGATAACAAACACTCAAATCTCAGAGATATTGAGTCAAAACTAAATAAAGCTCATTAAATCAACAAGAGAACATTGTGCTGTTAAGTATGACAGAGTGAGTCAGTGGCATCAAGATATGCACTTCTTCCAAGCATTTAAGCATGGGTTAAAACAGCTGGATCTATTAGGGTCATGGTGTTAGTGCACAGTTTGTAACTAATAGAATGTCAGGCTGGGTATTTATTGGGAAAATGTAATTTTACTCGGCTTACCAAATTTCAATAGAGGGTAAAAAATATGACTGTTTGGTTGGAAACATAATTCTTAAGATCAGGAGTCTTTTTTTGTGATAATGCTGATGTGATGCCAGGCAACACACTATGTTTAAAGACAAAATAACCTTCAATATTGATAAAGACACAAAGCAGTATAACAATAATAGGAAATAATAGAATATCATCATGATCATGATAATCTGCCCATGTCACTTCCTGCAGGCGTGCACAAAGCTCAGCACTTTCCCTTTGTCAGTTATTGCAATGTCATCTCTCTGGAGAGCCAGTTGTTGCTTTTACAAGGTGCCTTGCTATAGCATAGCAGCACTAGCTCACAATGTGTACTCTGCTCATGATGTTTAATCCCGCAGTTAAAAAAAACTGAGCTTGCAAGATGAACAGCAGCCTGGTTTTATGAGGCTATACTCCCCTGTTTGGCAGGTGTTAAACGAGCATTCATGGCACAAAACAAGCCGACAGGGGCCCAATTATCCCGGTCACAACAATCAGCATGTGTGAAGAGGCCTCAAAGTACACCTGCGACACATCTTTTTACGTCAAAGTGTGCAGATTTATGACAATATCTCCCCTGCCATAGTTCTCAATTGTCTCTTCATGCATTTAATTGTGTTCCGTTCTCCTTTCCACAGCTCTCGCCCTCAATGTCCACAGTATGTGCTTAAAGCTGGATATGTAATAATGAGTCTATAATCAGGTTCATTACCTACACAGCATTTCCAATCAGGCATTGGAAGACATTGTGAAGGAGTAGAGACAGACCCTTGATAGAGAGACAGCACACTGATGGTTGTTTCACTCCATCTTCTCTTTACAATCTCTGCTTGTTTTTTCCCCTTCAACCTGTTTTTCTTGCCCTTTATTATCATCCTCTCTACACTCCCGTTTCTATTGACAAAAGGCTGTGCTTGGAGAATAAAGGCAAAGCCTTGACTTGATTATCTATAATGAAAACACAACTCTCCCTCTTTTCTTCCAAACTGGAATACAGTGGCGAACTCGCTCCCTTTCAAAGTCTTGCGTTTGAACAATTTCCCTCAAAAAACACCACTAATAGAACATCAGAAAATAAGATAGAAGGAGAGGGGGACAGCAGAGTGTAGGAGTAAAGCTGAAGGAAGATAAACATGTTTCTCGCAGCAGGTAAACACAGACAACTGGAGACAAAATATGGAATATGGAATCAATACGTGACTTTAAATGAGCTCTATCTCTTCACATTCCCTCCAGCTGAATGTTGCGTTGAGGAGAACTTCCATTCTAATATCCAGTTAAATTGCAGAAGGCATTCATCACTTACAACATCCTTTCCCAAATCCTCCAGGGAGTGGATCTACAAGAAGGAATGCTGCAGCGGCGACTTCTGAGCCAGCCAATGACAGGACAGCTGTGAAGTTGTGAGATCACCTGGAAACCGTTGGCTGCGACATCAAAGCAGGTGACTGATGTTGAACCAATGCAATTACACCTACTCACCTACAATTTATCACGCTTTAGTTTGTCAATGCAACCACTGCTTTCACTCACCCCCCCTTGTGTTCTCTTAGAAATGTTTAGATATTTTCTTTGTAGGCTTTGTGAAAAATGGAAAAGACATATCCAGACTGGACTATTAGTCATTATTATTATTTATATTGTTATTTTTGATTGAATTTATTATAAATTACAATGCACTTTACTGCTTCTTTTGCACTTTTGGTTAGATGCTAACTGCGTCTTGTTGTCTCAGTACTTGTACAAAAAAAAGTGTAATCTAATATAAAGTAACTAAATACATGCCCAAATGAAAAATATAAGCAAAATGGAATACATTTTTTAGGAAATGACATTAATAGTTTAGCTAAAGAAAGTAAGAAACCACTGCATCACGTTATAGTTTTTGCTGCAGACTTTAGTTTATGATTTTGCAGCATGTAAGTTAAAAGCAACCTATCAAAATGTGAGCAAATAAGTCAATATAATGCAGAGAATGATAACAGCATAGATATAGGATTCTGTTTGCTCCAAGATATGAGATGGAAGTCATCTCTGAATGTTCTCAGGGTAAATATGAATGAATGTGTTGTATGATTCAGTGGGCATGACTCTGCAGAGCAGCAGAAGAGTATACAGCAGTTTGGGTTTGGGGCGATGCACGGTGCTGCAGTGCCCCCTGCTGACCTGCACCATACCTCACCTGTTTCAGCTGAAATATGAAAGTGTGGAAAAGTCTTGTTCCCCAAACAACCTTGGGGAACAGAAGATACTTGATAATGAAGTAGATGTATTCCATCAGTGTTCTTTCTGTTCTTTGACTGAAATGATATAAGGCAGGTTCGCATTACCACAGGAATGCTGAGTGTGCCAGGAACGTTTAACACTTTGACTTTGAGCGGTTGAACCCTAGTGGCTAGAGATTGTTATCTGCCTGAAACAAACCCATAAAACTGCACACTCACTCTCATATGTACCACTGTTCAGCTGCCCTTAAGCAAGGCAGTTTTTTTCTTGCATGTATAAAATGCTTTAAAATGGACTGAAAGTGATTAGAAAACTATCAAGGAGTTTTATTGGACTGACTGGAGATGAACTTGGTACCCAAGAGACTTGATAAAGATGGATTTACAAACTTTAAATCAATTTAGCACGAGGCAACACCTGCAGCTCCAAATGGATAAAGTTTTAACTTTAACTTCAGAAATCATGTAATGAGACATCTGTAAACTCTACACAACATGCTCATGTTTAACAACCCAGCTGGTCTATGCTGCCTTATAATGAGACAGCAAGCTAAAGATATCTATCCATCACTCATTCAAATGTAGACTTCTTCTTAATTATACACAACGCTAGACCTTCTTTTTAGCAAAGGAAGATGAATACTTCAATGGAGTGTTTTTTAGTGACCAGAAGACTGAGGTTGGTACCATATACAGTACAGAGGACTTGAGAAGACATTTCCTTCCCCACCACCTTCTACTTCTCTTCTTCTTCTACTACTACTCTTGTCCTGACCTCGCTCCCAGGCTTGTGACAGACCACACAATTACCTTCAATTATCCTCACTTCCACCTCACCAATTACATCCATTATTGATTCCAGACCCCTACGGCTGTAAAACCTTATCTATAGCAAACCACAGCCCACGAAGGAGAAAGCAGAATACGACCAAATAATAGGACCTTGTTTCATTAACAGTCCTCCAGCTTTTCACTCCCTCTACGTCACACAATCACCTACAGAAACAGTTTCCGCTGCAGTGCCCTTGAGAAATGAATAAATGTATGCAACATCAGCGCCTTCTAAGTAGCTATAACTTTGCTAATATAATATGCAAACCAGAATGCAAGGTAGTTACCAACTTTTGTAATCATTAAATTGTCACCAGTGTCAGAAAACATGGTAAAGAGCTGGTATTTTCAAAGGAAAACCAAACGAAACCATTGTAAACTCTGTAAGCAACAGTGTGAAGTGTACCCATCTGTTTCCGACCGTAGTTTGACCGTCATGTATCATTAGGAGATACTGGACTAATGTTATGGCATCCTGTATGCAGATGCTGAAAGCATTACAGTGAGACAGTGTAGTGTGAAGGTCAGTTCCACAGTACGAAAGCTGTAAAATGTGGAGTCACACTTTGCGGCTCTTGCCAGATTTTTGAATATGATACTGGCTGACATTTAGTGAGACACAAACATTAGCTGCTGTCACCACACACTAATGTAAAACATCCATCATCTTGAATGCACGCCAGGGCACCTGCAGAGAGCTGCATCATCTCCTGTTACTACAGACCTGAGAGGCTGAGCTCCAAGAGGGATTTCTAATGCAACGCTGCCCCCTTCAGGTGTCTCTTTAGGTTACGGCTGCTCAGCTGTGATGTGTACATCGGAGCATTACATTTTAGTAAGGTTTACACTCAAGAAGGCATACAACACAGAGAAACTTACCTTTCGAAGTCAGCTTTACCATGGACCTTGAGGCACCAACACAAGTTGTCCATCACACTTTATGGCCCGTGTACCTATTTGGATTACAAAGGGTGAGAGGCTTTTAGAATTAAGGAAGTCCAAGATACTTTTACATGGTAGTATGACCAAATATTTCAGGAATACAAGTTATTCCTTCATGAGTCCTGAAACAGAGACACATTTCGTTTGAATGTTATATAAACAGGATAGTCACAGTTAACTGGCAAGGATATTAAGATTTTACCTTTCAGATTTATTAGACATCATTGTCACTTGTAGGACATTTGGATGGAGCAGGTTAAGCTAAAAGAGAAGTGAGAACAGGCTGGTCAGTTGTCATGTTTTTGTAGGTGTACTATCATACACTCACTAACTCAGTAAATGTGGTTAAGTACTGTACTTAAGTACATTTTTGAGGTACATACATTTTGGCAGCAAATATTGCACTTTTTACTCATTACAATTATTTGACAACATTAGTTACCATTTGCACTATTTACAGGTTCATATTATGAATAAAATAAGTTAAATCAACTAATACACTGATGTGATATTATGGTGGGAGATACCTGGCTGTTTACAAAGTTGTTAACGTCATCCCAATCTTTGCCAGCTGCAAAATTAAAATGAGAGACACACGAATACATGGCTAATTTCAGAGGTGGAAGATGTAGTCAGATCTTGTACTTAAGTAAAAGTAGAAGTACCAGAGTGCAGGAATACTCTGTTACAAGTAAAAGTCCTGCATTCAAAAAGGTTACTCAAGTAAAAGAACAAAAGTATTGGCATCAAAATATAGTTAAAGTACCAAAAGTAAAAGTAGTCATTGTGCAGATTGGTCCATTTCAGAATAATATATATGATATGTTTTATAATGATTGATCATGAAAGTGTTATCAAAGCTGGTAAAGGTGCAGCTAGTTGTAATGACTTTGTATACTGCAGGGTAGCTTGTGAATTTACTCCAGGTGGAACTAAAGTCTGATTTAAGACTTGATTATATTTCACATCATTCATCCACATCTGTAAAGTAACTAAAGGTACACATGAATGTAGAGGAGTAAAAGTACACCATTTACTGCTGAAACATAGTGGGGTAGAAGTATAAAGTAGCAACAAATTAAAATACTCAAGTAAAGTACAAGTATCTTAAAACTGTACCTAAGTACAGTACTTGAGTAAACCTACTTAGTTACTTTACAACACTGGCTACTTTTAAACCAGAGATATACTAATACGTTTGTACTTCTACTTAAGTAATATTTTGATTGCAGGAGTTTTACTTGTAACACAGTATTCCTTCCTACACTGCGGTATTTGTACTATACTTAAGTATAAGATCTGAATACTTCTCCCACCTCAGCTCACCGATTCATTTATTAGGTAGAGCTATCTTAAACTAATGCATTTGGACACAACAGCCCTGCAATTTTGAGTTTGAGTTTGAGGTTCTGTTGAAATGTAATGTGATCATTGTCTCTAAAACAGATTAAACACTTACTGGATATAAAAACCTTCAGGGAGTTAGGATTCATTGTTAGTTTTTTGTATAAACTTCATTAGCTTAAGCTAGATGTAGGTTAGGCCTAAATGGAAATGCTAAATAATGCACAGCTGGTTCTTCTGTAAACATCTGCTGTGAGAGTCTAGGTCCCATGAGAAAGATTGTGAACATGTGTATTTAGAGATGTATCTCTAGTAAATGTGTCCTAGTACATTGCTTGTTTGAATAATGTTTTTAAACGGAAATTCTACATAGAAATTAGCACCGTGTGCCTGAATGACACAGGTGTTGCTGATTGGAATACATTCGAACGTTTGTTTCGGTTGAGAGACATTAACTTCATATTGGTGACTATTTCCAAAATGAACATGAGTCTATCTTAACAGCAACGCTACATGACAGCGTGAACTGTCTGTTTTTGTTTATGTGTTTATAATATAAACTTGATATCCTTAATTAAATGAAGAGAACTTTACCTCACACGGTATGTTTGAGCTCTCATCCATGGTTGAGGGGCCAGCTTCGGCAGAAAGGGGCGTGGTTTGACAGGTCTTGTGTGGCGTTCAAGAACTATCGTACATATTAGTCACAATCAATGGTGCAAAAATGACCGATATGGATTTAATAGCAAGGCACGAATATTTATAATCGGAAAAAGGAAATGTGTGATTGCCTAGGTTTCTTAATATGAAGAGTAGCCCATAGGAACATGGAAACTTTGTCAGCAATTGTTTACAATGTGATATATTACAGCCTCTGTAGCCTACTATTTTTCCTTTTTATGTTGTAATCATAGACTGTATATATAAAGGTTGTAATGCATTATGTAAAATATGTCTTTGTGTTAGGGATGTATTGAAGACAACACAATACTTTCCTTATCTTATGTCGATGCTGCTTTTGTACTTGAAATATCTTTATCTGTAATTCACAACAGAATGGTTCCATACTTTCTCTAGAGATGTGCAACTTTTTGTTAAAAATACAAGGTAATCACAACACGGTTTATATTTCTGATGCAAGTTCTCCGGCGATTCTGGTAGAAGTCGTAAGTAGTCTTAAGAAAATCGGCACAATATGTTATTTTGATAAAAAACGAAATGCATGAACAAAAACCTCCTAGAAAGCTGCTTTATGCCTTTATTTTTGGCTAAAAGCGCCCCGAAATGCACGTCTGACGATGTATGCATTGTGAATGTATAAAATAGCAGCTCGGGAGGGCACCTGAAGGCACCACCAGTGCAGTGCTGTTTGCTGCTGACTCCCCTCTGTCGTCCATTACAGTTCGGTACCATCTGTACGCGCAGGCCTGAAGTAGCGCAGCCGCTCTGAGGTTAGTGCCCTACCGCGCAATCTCCATCTATTTCTGCCCCGGCGCAGCCGCACCATCAACCCGGCAGCGTTGGGGCGAAAGATGCAGATTGTTTAGATGTTGACTAGAGCAGACTTATGACACCGATATGGCTTTTGTGCGGAATCATTTTGTAGGCGCGTATCGACAAGAAGCTGAGAAAGAGTAGAATAGAGACGTAGGCCGCTGGGCCTGCTTAGCGCTGTGTTTTGTTTCATATTGCGCGGGTTTACTGCTAGCTGCTGCTGCGTTACCAATGTTTAACTGTTACCTTTCACTGCACACTGAATTCATCCGTGATCAGTGTGCGAACATCGGGAGATTGTCGATGTTAACGATTATTGCTAATGTCCATTCAGATGACCGATGCTACACCGCCAAATGGTTAGCTAGCTAGCTTATTAGCCAAATGTAGGACACAGCTAGCTTAGCTCTGTTTGGCTGTCGATGTGAAGCAAGCCGGCTAACATGAGAGCACTGTAACGCATGATCAGTTACAATGTCTATTTAATACAGTTAGTCATGCGTAGTTACTATGTGATAGGGATTTTACTTTATTACCGGCCTTAGATATGGTTAAACGCCAATGTTATTGTCGAGTCGTGCATCATCCCATTGATTCACACAGTCCATGTTGATGTTACAGATGATACTGCATGCCCATAAACCTGTCTGGCTGCTGCAAATGCCATCTTTTCCCTCCTTATGCTTATTAACTTTGCATGTGTGGGTAACAACTCCCGTCCAAGAATACTCAAGACAAAGCAATGGTGTATTATACAGAACTGTTTAAATAAATATCATATGCCTTTATATCAGCTTCCCACTATGAATCAAGTATACAGGCTATCTCCAGTAAACTGAACCTGTGGATATTTCTCTCAAAAGCCTGTCTACATTGACCATGTATGGATTAAGTCATACATTTCTAAGTGTGAAGAATAATATTATATGTATACATTTAGTGAAACCCTATTGTGTTGTTTAGCCCCATATTGGCAGACATACAGTTTTTCCATGCCACACACAGATGCTCTTCAACACTTTATATTCTGAATGACTTCTTGCTCTTATATTCATTAAACAATCAGTTATTCCCTTTGAATCTGATGAATCTGAATTTAAACTGTATATGTCTAAGAGTGCTAAGTATGATCTATTAATGAGTATCATGTGTGTAATGCCCATTCTTCTCTTGTAAACCCTTATTTAATATATTATACATATTAATACATTATAGGACATTATTTTCATACATTGATCACAGTGGTGTTATTCCTGATGGAAGTATTGATGCCGTATGAAGCCCTCTAGTGGCAGAGCAGCAGTCAGTGCACCACACACTGTTGATATACACAAGTTCAGAGCTGTCATAAGGAGACTGAGTTATATCATATGATGTTAAGCATACTTGCATTATGGTAGCAATATATATTTGAGGAAAGCTGGTACTACATGTTTTCATTTTGTATGTGCAATACTATGCATCAGCTAAACTTCTTATATCAATACAGCAGGAATTACAAGTTCTCTGCTATTAATGAATAAAGGGAAATTACTCGGGCACCTTGTAGAGTAGGGGTAAAACACTCTCTGTCCTCATCTTATGCTGCTCTTTCCTCTCTCTCTCCTCAGTCATTGTACCGTGGATACAGCCGTGTACACCAGGTGGCCCATAATGGACGAACACGTCGTTCACCAGACAGAACACATGACCACCATCGAGGCTGGTGCCGTCAGCCAACAGATCCAGCAGGTTCAGGTTATTTATTTCTGCCCATAGGTGGATTTAATTTTTCGCATATCAGCAGAATGGCTAGTGTAAAACAGGAAGCCCCATTATTCTAAAGAGTCAAACATTTAATTTAACCCATTGGTTCTTGGATCATTGTGTATAGGTACATGTGACCACCTATACCGAAGCGTCCATGATGAGCGCTGACGAAGACTCAACGTCCTCACCAGATGATGATCCTTATGACGACACGGACATCCTGAACTCGGCGGGCACTGATGAGATCACTGCACACCTGGCTGCAGCAGGTACGTCTACACTGGGCTATAGAGAGAAGTAGAGCGTCTGGGGCCTCCAAATTAGTGAGAGTGGGATTAACTTGATAAGAAACATCCATCAACACTTCCCAACGGAAGTCTGAAAGACAAGTAGATGTTATAATCTTGCATGTTGGATTTTCCTTATCCAAGAATCACATTTATAGTGCCTGAGTTCAGTGTAATGCTTTTAAATGAACAGCAGGGGGTGCCAGTGGGCTGTTATAGTGCAGTGCCACTATAAGGCCTCCTGATAATGCTTTATTTTATTTTCCCTTGTAGTTTTTAAGGGCCCAAATGATGCCATTGTGCCACCATGGCAACTCGGCTCAATTTAAAATCTAGCCTACTTTTGAAAACGAATAGCAAATCAAATGTGTTAAATCAAAAAGAAGAATATTTTAAGTGTACATTCAAGATGAAGATGATAAGCTCAAGAGAGTATTAAACAGAATTCAAGAACTCTACAGATTGTAGTTCCTTGTGATTTCTAGCCTTTATTTGTACTTACAGTCCAACTTTCTCTTTCTCTCTCAGGGCCAGTAGGCATGGCGGCTGCTGCTGCCGTGGCAACTGGGAAGAAAAGAAAGAGGCCTCATGTCTTTGAATCTAACCCCTCCATCCGCAAGAGGCAGCAGACCCGTCTGCTCAGGTGAGCTTGAACACCAGGAAACATGTCCTAGTACTGTCCTATTTTTTTTCTACTCTTTTGTAGATGTGCAATGCCTTGTTTTATCATACCCAAATTGGGATCAATAAAGTAAATCTTAACTTTAAGTCACTTTCAGCACCTGGGATCAGTGTTTAGAGTTGCTGTTGTGCTTCAGGGCTTGTATTGTGAACCGGAGGTAAAGCATGGTGTGTGTTTACAGGAAACTCAGAGCCACCCTGGATGAGTACACCACCAGAGTGGGCCAGCAGGCCATAGTGCTGTGTATCTCCCCCTCTAAACCCAACCCTGTGTACAAGGTGTTCGGGGCTGCTCCTCTGGAGAATGTGGTGAGTGTTAGCTTCAGTTATTCACTATGAATTCTATTCTGTTAGATGTTTATCAGTCAATTCACTTCCTGATGATTTAACCACCACCTAGCAAATACTTCTGATACCAAACTGATCCACTGTGGTTTGTCCTCCAGGTGAGGAAGTATAAGGGCATGATATTGGAGGATCTGGAGAACGCTCTGGCTGAACATGCCCCCCCTGGAGGAGATCTGGCCTCAGAGCTGCCCCCCCTCACGATCGATGGTATCCCTGTCTCTGTGGACAAGATGACCCAGGTCAGGCTCAATACTGTCTGTGCTTGTACTGAACTTTGTTTATTTAGGATCAACCTCTTGAGATGAACCGTGTTGTTACGGGGGGGGTCCTAACATATAGTACAAACAGCAAGACAGTCAAAACACAAAAACAAAATGACAAAACCAGATCAAGTCGCAAAAAAGACAACAGGCAAGACTACTACAATCACAACACACAAATTAGAAATTAAACATTTGAACATAATAATCTATAGAATGTACAATTCACCTCAAAATTAGAAGACAAAGCATTCTAAAACATTTGAATGGAAATTAAGTATCGTATATCTTATCTATTCTGGTCTGAAAGGAGATGGCCCATTTATCAGTTTTCCAACCAAATGCCCTTCTGGTGTCTGAGACTCAAACACAGAGTGGACGGTCCCAGCAGAGGGCAGCGTTTGGCAACAAATCCGATTCTCACATTGTGTTTTATGTCTGAAGTTTAGCCAGGTACTGCATATGTATCAAGGTCAACTGCCTTTTTTCAGCTGTTTCTGGATGTCTATCAGCGTCACTTAATGAACGTTCTTTTAAATACTTTAATTTATCTTTACGGTGAAGAGGACTTGTAACTCAGTCAGACTGTATTCTTGATGCGTAGGTACTTTCCGCATCTGAAAACAAGCCAAGCCTCCTCCCTTTGCTAGACAGGCTGCGGTACCAGTGAGGGAGGGGGGGGGGGGGCAGCAGAGCAGACTGCACTTAGAGGCCTTTCACTGCAACATTTGCACCATCCTCTCTGAGGGGACTTGACTTGTTTACTCCTTCGTCCCAGTGCTGCCGACGCGGATCATCGTCAGAGCAGCCAGCATGACAGGGCCCAAAGAGACGGTCCTCAAC